TCTTCCATTTCAACGGCCTCATTTCCGCCAAGTCCATGGGCAAATGGCAGTGCTTGTTCAGGGACAGCATCGACTGGAACGCAGTGAGGAGGACGATTTGGTTTCCAAAAATCCGTCCACATACCATTCTCATCCAGTTGATCAGGAAAGCGGTCTGCTTCTCCTATGGGATGTCCGTTGTCCGCCTCGGGCACCGCATCGTCAGGAGCAGCGACAGCCTCAATATCTAGTGTAAAAGATTCAGAGTTTCTCGTTTGAGTACGAAGTCAGGCCAACTTGCCTTGTTCCAGTCCAGCTACGGCACCGTCAGCCACGTCGCCACCATCTAGTGTTTCTAAGTCATTTCTGCTTGCTGGAATCAGGCAGTCGCTGTACCGGTGTCGATACCAGTCCCTGAATTGCGTCAGCGTGTTAGGTTAACTGGTCAGAGAGTGCGAACCGTTCGCATCAGCTTGTCGACCGGCTCCTTCAGTCCCTCGCGCGTGTTCCTCGACTCGGGGCGGTTGCTCGTTGACTGCCGGAGCATTTGAGCAAATGCATATGGCGGGAGGAAGTAACCAACAGTTTTCGTCACGTGCTCCTAACAGACCCTCGTCTCCCCCGCCATGTTCAGCGACAAATCCACCCTCTGCTTTGGCTCTCACCAGTCTGAAGCCAAGAATACCAAGACGTACCCGCGATCCCATTCAAGACCCAGTCTATCGGACCAACATTGAGGTTGGCCAATCTCCCGTGGATTTCGGCGTCTTCAAAAACGGGTCCGACTTCGACTTCCTGCCTAGCGACATTAATAGCAACATGCTCTGAACCAAACAGATACCGCCTAATAGTCCTCGCGACTCTGAGTAGAAACGTCCAAATGGGTTCTAGGGCTCCTTGAAGTCGATGAAGATGCAGCCAAAAGCGGTGCATGTCTGGCCAAAAATACCATACCACCAGCACTATGACTGCCCCAGGGATACTGCATAGGGCGCAAACCAAGAGCCACCACACTGCATGAACCGCCACTCCAACGACCCCAACTGCCTCGGGCAGAACTTCAGCTGCGATCAAAACTGGGAGCTCAAGCAGCGAGTCAATTGACAATGTGGTTTGTTGAAATATCGCGCTGAGAGCTTCAAGAGCGCTACTCGGAGGAGTGGTGTCGTCACTATCGTGGCCAGGAGTCTTGCGAGAAGAGCTTGCATCTTCTGCCATCAGAAGGGCTGCGTCGTTCTCTGACTCGGTTTCGACGGAATGGGGCTCGCCAATGGAAGGTCGGAGTAGAGGGGCATAAATGAGGCGTAGATTCTTGAGGATTCGATGACGGCGATGAAGTGCTGCCCGATAGTCTTCGAGCGTTGGGATATCAGCAAACGCCGAGGTTGGTCGGGGTCCTTGTGCGAGGGACACAAAAAACGTAACGATGAAAAGAATGGGAAGGATGAAGATATCTGACTCGTCCTTGTCAGTTGCGCAGGAGTCGGAGTCGAATGGAAAGCAACCTTCGTCGCGTTGCGATGTACGAGCTAAATCCGAATTAGTGCCCTCGCCAAGGTTGAAAGATGTAGTTGAAGCATTACAATGCGTCTGGGGTAGGCGAGTTGAATCCGAGCACTTCAATGAGGGCGATGCTGGGAGTCTGAAAGAAGGAGAGCCAACCGCGACACCACAGATATGAGCACGTGATGGCGAAAATATCGTGATGTCGGATCAAGACTCATGTGTCACTTAGTCACGGTCACACTTGACTTGTCTTCGACAGCCATGCCCTCGATAATGCCCTCTGTCCGCTGCTTCCTCATAAGCTTTATCGTCCCAGCTCAATTGCTGCTTCTGAGTGTCAAGTTCACCTACCTCCATGTTCATCACGTTGAGCATAGCAAGGATGTTCCAGTGGCGGCTATTGTCGGTTACCCCGCGACAAAGACGTCTAGTTTCAAGCCTCCCACTCCCTGCACCTTCTCAATCTCCCGGCCCTCGACTTATGCCATTGTTCCTGTGGCACTCGTCCTTTTCATTGCCGCACTCGCTCCCTTTCTTTTCCATGTGAAGAATGCGAACGGCAAGTCGAAGGCCACGGGTAGGCAGCTATGGGTCCCAGTTGGGATGTCCTTTGGGGCTGCTCTTTGCTTCCGCTCCATTCATCCGGGCATATTCATCGGCTGTTCACTCCTCCCTTTGCCCAGCAAGGCACTTGAGCTTGGTTTCGGCATCCTGTCCCGAATGATTGTGTTTTTCATCTTGACCCTACAAAGTGGTGCAGTGCGAACACTGGCCAAATATTCAGCCGTTTGTCTGGCTAGTCACCTTGGGTGGATTTCGATTATCTGGCAGTTGCATCGATTGAGAGCGTTTTTCTTTGTCCATCCGTTTGAAAATTCCGGATTCCTGATGATGTTTCTCCCAACTCCCCTTCCTTTTGTCTACTGGCACGAAATACGGAGGGCTGCGTGGTTAATGGCATTCATAGCCACTCGTCCAATTGTTACTTCATCCTTTGCGGACACGATCGCTCGTCAGGCCTATTTCCTCGTTTCGTGGATCGAAAATATGGGCTTGATGAACTACAGTACCCTGACGGTATGTTGTTAGCTTTTCTTCGACTTGCCTGATCGCTTTCTCTAGATTTGTTTGGGACCAGCAGTCTTCCACGGCTTCTGCCTCTGTGTTTCGGTCGCAGCTTCGATTATTGCTGCTATGTTCCCTCCTGCGCGTATATATCCAGACTTTTGGCGCATCTACTTCGCGATACTCGTCGCCTATCTGTTGGCTTGGAAAGCTGTCGTGATTTCTTACGCCTACCTCTTGAGTGCCGCTGGCCAGTTACTCTTCTGGGGCCTCGTTCGTCACCATATATGCTCTGCGATCGTGCTCTATGCTACGACTTTTCGGAACTACGGTGTCTGGCCGCTCCGGGAGCATATGCTGCTCGAATTTGTCGAAGAGAGCGATATGTGGATAGCAAGCCAACATCAACGTCTTGCTGCTGTCGCCCACCACCTCCATCAAGCAGTCACACACCCAATCCTTGAATGGAACGCGCCTTTATGGCAGATATTAGTGAGTCGGTTTCTGTCAGCAAGCATTATATACTGAGACGACGGCAGGTCATCGGCTTGCCCCCGATCCTCTTTTACGTCCACTCTCAAGTGGTGACTCTCTTTCTTTTGCCAGCTGAATCGTCCTAAAGCGTCTGCAACAGGTCCCAAATGTCTTCCAATTCCGACAGGCTGTTCGTATTGTGAAACGTCTGCTCGATGGTCGGGGTAAGTGCGACAATTCCAAGGGTGCATCCGATACTGAACAGTCCATAACAGGGCTGTAATCGACGCGACGTGCACGGCAAAGCACGACCACCATACGGGGACGCCCAATTGCATCGGCTTACTTGGAATCGTCATGTCGCATTACCCATCAACCCCCTTTCGCTAGCGAATATGCCATTATGTGGGCTTTGCCATTCTACTGCCGCCGTCGAGAAACAACAGCATTCGAGCAAGGGGCGGAATAACCGACCCTTGAATTTGCACAATCGCTAGATCGAGAATCGAAGAATGCGAAGAGACTCAAGAGACTCGGAGAGAGAGATTTCACGACTACTTCGACCATCTAGCGACTGATTATGACGACCATGCGAGAATTGGACCGACAGACACCTCGCTGCCTGAATTCCGACCCATGGACGACATCCTTCGACTTGATTGAGAATCGGGACGGGCAAACCCAATGTCAGTATCGACAGTCAAGTCACACACACCCCAGCAGCTTTCGAGCGGGAATCAGACCCGACCCTCGAACTCTGCGCCAGTCTTGATTGAGAATCGGAGCCGATAGAGGACGACATTATTCGACCGACTTGAACTCCGACCGTCAAGTTCTGACCCACCAACCCTCGAGCGAGAATTGGACGCCCGATCCTCGAAACTCGCAGCAAGTCTTGATCGAGAATCGAATCTGACGAACGACGGCCTTTTGAGCCCCGCGATCAGCTTTCGACCGTCAACCCACCGACTGCAGGTTTCGAGCGAGAATCAAATTCCGACCCTCGAGTTGCGACCATTACCACCAGCGAGCATTGATTGAGAATCGATTCTGACGAACGACCGCATATTTCCAGCCCCGCGATCAGCTTTCGACCGTCAAGACCAGCGACTTCAACTTGGAGTCGAGTGATTGAGGAAGGTCCGTCTTGAATCCCGTCGTTTACGAGTTTGTTCTGAAGGAGGCCTTTGCAGATTTGATTGAGAATCGGACAACAGTTGTTGTTGAAGTTGTCCGACCGTCAAGTCTATCCAAGTCTTATGAGAATTGGGATACCTCCGTGTACTTCCAACCGTCGAGACTTGTCCCTTTTTTCGTCGACTCGGAATTGCGGAGACACCAGTGGTGCTCCGCGATCCACAACGCGCTTCTGTACCGTACTAGTAGTTATTTCTTGTCCCTTCTTTTCAATAAAATTACAATTCCTTTCACTCGTCGATTCTTCTGATGACTTGTCTAGCCTTGCTATTTTATCGTCGACTCGGAATTGCGGAGACACCAGTGGTGCTCCGCGATCCACAACGCGCTTCTGTACCGTACTAGTAGTTATTTCTTGTCCCTTCTTTTCAATAAAATTACAATTCCTTTCACTCGTCGATTCTTCTGATGACTTGTCTAGCCTTGCTATTTTATCGCAGAGCAGCAGATACTGATGACTCGGAAATGGCTATTTCCCCACCTACTTATTTTTTGGCCCTACAATTTTGGGGGGCCCACCGGCCATACCATTTGGTGATGTTCATCTAGCTTCTTCTCGGCGGAAAGGGGGTCAGTTGGGATCATTGCAGGTATGATAACATCATACCTGTCTCGTCCTTCCCGACGCGTAACGTCACACGTTTGTTGATTTTCCCCAGTCTTGCCTATCTAAACTGACGCTGCCCTGTTTTCTTCTTGCCTGAAGTGTTTTGGCACTTCCCGTGCATTTCACTGGCAGGAATATCTCTCTAATTCACTCATCATATACCTACCATGTCCTAGGTACGTACCTCCTCATCTGATTGCACCCCTAACTCTCCATCCGTGCTGAAGGGTATGTTCAGATACTCCAAGAAGGGGGAAGTCTCATCTTCTGGTTCTTGGAGTGGTGGGTTGTGCCAATGTCTATCCAAATTCCAACTCATGGGTTCTTCTCTGCGGTTCTGATCCTTTTCCGCCACTGCAGTGGTAGCCAAGCCTATGTCCAGGGATGGAGCCTGGGTGGCATTGCTCTGCCATAAGGTGTGGTGTGTCTTTGCCCTACTTTTTGACTCATATGCCCATGGATCCTTCGTGGACTCAGTCAACAGCAGAGACAAGTTGCTGGTTCTCAATTAGTCATCAGGCATATATATATATAAATTGGCACATACTGGCACACCAGTTTACCATCTGCTTGTCTCTCCAACTGGGGCGACAGGCGTAGATTGAGATTGGCCAGCCAGTCGAGATTTTGGGGTACTTGGAGGTTCAAGTTGGCTGTGTTCTGAATCTTCATGAAATGGGATTTGAGCATGGGTGGTGGCTCACCTCATTGAGGGTGGGGTCTTGGTAGTCTGTAACCTTGTAGTATGCAATCACCCGATATTCCTCCCCCTCCACTGTCAAGGTAATAGTCTGTAAAGCTTGGCTTATTTGTATGGGTGGAGATGGGGTGCTGACCTTTTTTATTAGGCCATTGGGTAGTAGCGGTCTTGGGCCCGGGGCCTCCCCCCCACTGGACATATGGAAGATGGGAAAACTGCATGCCAGGGGCGGTAAGCATACCACTTGTGGCTGAGAATCCAGCTCACCTCTTTTGAGGCTTGACTTCTGAGTCAATTTCATGATACATCTGGCAGGGTTTGACAAAAAGGCGCTAAGGAAATGTTGAATAATACATACAGTAAAGTTTCCCATTGTGCGTGATGAAGTCCAAGAATGACCATCTGGGATTATAAGTTTGGGAGTAGAAGTCACTGCTGCACTAGCAATACTTACCTGTCCACCTTGCAATGTTGCTTTCCTGAAGGCTGAATATGAGGACTGCACCACTTCGAATCCACTTCTCACGCTCTTCACTGGGTAATCTGGCTACTATCCGAGGAATTTTGCCAGTTCTGGCTGCATACACCACCGCAATTGCATCCCATGAGTGTTTGATGATGCCCAAGAACGGTCCATGAGGAGGGTAGGTCGAGGCAGACATCGAGGTTAAGCTTACGAGATATGTGGACGCATTTTGATCTCCAACCCACCCTGACGCGCGTCAATCGATTATCGGATTCTTAGAATGACTTCAATGTGCCGTGCATTTACGTAGCAAGTATCCCAAGCTAAATCCAGTCTTCAAAAATAACCTACACAAACCCTTCATCTCTGTGCCTCCAACCGCCATCGCTTTTTGGAGCAGCACCAGTAGCATTCGATGTCGTTGCGTTCCTTTTGATGTTCTCTTTGTCCGATTGACTTCCACCAGAACCACGGCTATTGTCCATCACATGTCGCTCGCCGATAGCTGGAAGCACAGGCTGGCCAGTTGCTGCCCTACGATGGCGCGCAAACTCGATCGAAGAACGGGCGATAGGCTCCTCCGTTATTGATCGTCTCCTTCCGGGACGCTCTTCTTGTGTTGTCACATCGTGTGGTGCAGCAACGACCATGGGAGGTTGTTCCGGTCTGTTTATATCTGCTCGCTTTCCTAGCGCGTGGGCTGACGGAGGAAGCTGTTGCCATGGGATCCGAAGAAACGAAGGACCAGTAACCATACCAGACACTGTAGAACGGCGTATTTGAGAAGCAGAGCTATTATGAGGGACGTGAAGAGTGTTGGTGGAGCTGCCAACGACTTGAGTTGTGGTTGGGGAGAAAGGCTGAGATTGGGAGGTGGACATCGGCATTGTTGAAGCAAACGGCCCAGTTGATCGTAATAGCGAAGGGGCAACATGATAGGCCGCAACTTCATCCGCCCGTGGAGCCACGGAGCCAAATCGCGCCAACTGTACCCTTGCAGGCGCATTCGCCGCCCTCAGTTTTACTTCCGTTGCCGTCCTGTCCAGATTCGGAGATGTATTTGGATTCGTTTGGACTACGAAGAATCAAGTCAGATCGAATCAGAAGAGAGACAGGTAACAAGTACCATCGACTCCGACACTGTCTTTGCCATTCAAGTCCAGACCGGGTCCGACATTCGAGGTTGCTAAGGTAGTTGTCAGTGCCAGAACAGCTGGATAAAACCGAGACACATACTTTTGGGTACAACTATCTTGGGTTGCGCTGAAGCCACTTGCCTGGCTGAGGGGCTTTCTGGGTCGGAAACAGGGTCTTGCACTGGGTTCGATGGGGAGCCAAGAGGGAACGCGGTTGCTGGAGAAACGGGAAGCTTTGTAATAAACACGTCTGAGTTGTCAAACGGTAATATCTCTTGAGAGACGACTTGTGGCGATTGAATGATGATTTCGACTGGTGGGAAATGCAATGGATTGACGCGCGACCGACCCAACCGGACATTAATCTTGACTCCAGCGTTGTACAGCTCCTGAATAGAAGATGAAGAGGTCGAAAAATCGGCTGGAAAGGGGAGCATGTCTGCCGAATGGTGAGGCGCTTTGAGAAACGTTGTGATATATGACTCACCTCGACTACCGGCGTTTTCGATGTCCTTTTCTGGTTCAGATGGGTTGGCGCATGTGTGAGAACGACAAGCGAGGTGACACACCTTTGTGAATGGCTTCTGTCGATGCCTCTTGTCCCTCCGCAGCTTGCTCCGCAACCAGCTCTTCACCGACGGTATTAATCTCCGTTTTATTTAAACCCGCCAGCGCCACATGTTTTATCGAGTCCTCTTGCCTGGCTGGAGGCGGGGCAGCGTCTTCAAACTACTGAGCAATGTTCGAGTGATGAATGGTAATGGACCAACAGACCTTCGTGTCCATTCAAGTTGACCAGTCCGTGGCCATTGTCTACTTCCATATCGGAAAAGATATAAATAAAGCTCGAATTTTGAGGGAAATAAATGTACCGGGAACAACCTCTACGGCAACATTTTCTTCGAACTTGTCTTCCTCGGAAACAAGCGGACCGGCTCCAGTATACTTTTTGCGAGGGTCAAGAGCAATATTCACTAGTGAGGAGTTGGTATGTGCATGGTTAATGAACTAGGCAACGTACATTCGTCAGCCTGAATGGCTTCGATTTCACCACCTTCTGCATCGTCCTTGTTCTCAACAAGTTCTTCATTTAGCTGCCATGGTTCTCCGTCGTTTGCTCCATCAGCAGTCAAAAGATTGAGCCCAGCTAAGTAAGATTAAAACATGCGGGAAAGGCTTGCTAAAAACATCGACTGACCTTGATTTTGCTCGGCCAGTAACAGCAACAGCAGAAGCAAAGCGGCATGCAGTCGTTCGTTGTGCTCCGCTGCTTCCTCGACAAGATCTTTGGAAGTCGAATCGGCAAAGTGTCATGGTGGGAAGAGGAAGGGAAACTCACGTGCTTCGTGACCTTCACCATCAACGTTCACAAGCGGAAACTGAAGAGCGAATTCGAATGGTTCAATCGCGGCTTGTCCTAGCGAGATTTGAGCGCGGGGGAATGGATAATGTGCGCGGTACCTTCATTTTCTCTGATTTGTCCAAGCGCGAGATCGAGCGGATCAATCTTCACCATCGCGGGCAGCCATTGCGGATGCTCCCCGCGTCCTTCTGGCTGGCGACCTTGGCCGAAGAGCAGTCGGAATAGCATTGTGAGCAGTATTTCCCTACGTCTGAGTCTAAAAATCCAAGTCACAGACACCGATATCAAGTCCACCCCCGCGCAGCCGACAATGACACAAATTGAAAAGAAAATCACCCAGAATAAGATATGCACGGCAATGGCCACCAAACCATTCTTCACATGGGGCAAGCGGGACAAGAGACCCATAATGAGACGTGACCACAACGGCGGCTCGTAGTTGAGGGAACGATGCGGAGGGGCTGCGAGACATATGGCTGCTCGTTGAAGAGACGTTTGGGCCGAACAAACACTGCCTAAGCTCCAAGGAAGACCATCTTCAACGCAAAAGAACGGCGAATGACGAGGACACGACCAGGTGGGTTGAATGGCAAGGTAAATGCGGCAGAGAACAGCCTGAGGAATAGATGGAGCTGCCAGCGCTGAGTGCGATGTGGCATTGACAACACTTTTCAGTCCATCAATTAGGCGTGCATAGGAAGTCAAGGCTTGATCGAGTTGCAGACCCAGTGGCGGAACGATGACAGGTGTGTTGGCAATAGTCGTGAAAGTCGCAAGTATGAACGAAAAGAGTTTGATGAAATAGAACACCATCTGGAGCTTGAGCTTGTGGTCGATACGAAATGTTATTTGGCGAGAGGCGTCAAGTCGCTATAGCACGAGGTGAGGCGGTATTAAGACTGAAATCCAAAAATCTAGTGCTCGGTACTGAACAATCGGTAGGATATTGCCGGTGAAGGGCTTGGTCTTGACCAGAGGGGCTCTAGCGGTACAGCGAGTAGTGTTCCTGCAAAGACGCGAGAAAAGTAAGCAAGTGTCGCCAGTGGATTATGGGAGTCTCGGTAAAGGCTTGACGCGATGGTGACACGTGACCGTGACGGCGCATACCTAGCCTTCTTCTCCATTGTCCCGTTCGTCACTGCTGTTGTTCTCCCCATCCAAGCGCTCCTGTAATGCGCTAAGTCTGCCTACTCTCTTACCCTGGCACCCTGTTGAATTTCGGTGGAACAATCCGACCCAAATTCCACTTTAGTGGCAGTGGGCGACTCGGATTTATCTGTCCTCCTAGTAATCAAGAACACCACCAACCCACGGTTCTGGAAGCTTCAACGCTGACTCCGACGCTGTGAAGAGCTGTTGAAATTTGGTCGCACACCCACACATCGATGGCCACACGCCTTCTTTTTTTGTTCGATGACTCTATCGGCGACATCTCTGGCGCCCGGTGTGGGCGTCTATGGGTATGAGTATAAAAGGCGTGCCAGCTTGCAACGTGATCAACAGCCTCTTGTCCTCTCATCTTCTCTTCGAACTCGCTCCACCGCTCCCTAAGTAACTGACCGTTCCACGACCCTCAACAGCACTCGACGTAGGTGTCGCATACCTTCTTACACGATGCTCGCTCACCATGCTCAGATCGGACTCATCGTCGTCAACATTGTACTCATGCTCGACACTGGTGAGTAGGCAGTCAGCTATCCACCCATTCTCTCTCTCTACGGGCATCGTCCCATCGTTCGCGTGGTGGTCGGTTATCAACCACCTATTCCTATTCATTGTCCATCGAGACTGGGACCACCACGTCGTTCACCATCCACTACCTCTGCCTCTCTTTCTTTTTTTCGCACACACTCGTAAACCAATCCACCAACCAACCACCGACCAACCATTCATCGACATGCTACCCTTAACCGAAGCAGGCCCAGCCATAGTCCCTACACACACGGTCTCAGCAACATCAGGACAGGACCATTCTGCGAGATGAAATTCCAAAGCGGTCAGTTGCCTCCATCATCGTTGAGAACGACCACTCACCCTTGGACACTAGTGACTCAAGTGAGAAGACTGTGTTGTGTCAGGCGATCAATGGCTGGAGTCCGACCGGCAAGAGCCCGACTGTCGCAGTGCGCCCGCCGCGGTTTCGGATCGAGGATGTCGCGTCTTAAATTTGCATCGCTCAGGCTGATGCTGGCCGGCAGGTCTCCTGTGAGATTCCAACGGGGCGTACGGACGGGGGCTCACCAAGCATCGAATGGGCGTCAAAGGACACCGATAACCCGCTAAGTCGTTAAATGACTCTTTTTCTTTTCTCTGTTTCTTTTCTTCGAGGAATGGGATGCTGGCTGACCTACTCAACTTTTTAGGTGTTCTTCGCGGCTGTTGACTCCAATTAGTAGTAGCTCAAGTACGGTCTTCTTGTACAGTAATATTTCCATATATAGTCGTCGAAACACTTGCGAATTCCAAGCTGGTGTCCACGTGCAAATAATAATTGATTTTCGCGAATACAATGAGCGTCTAAAGGAACTAAATATTGGCTCAACCGCTTACTGGAACTCTGCAGCAAACACATCAGATAATATATCATCAGGCTCGCAAGGAAGCCTACCAGGAGGAAGAGCATCGTAAGCAGGGCACAAGTCGAGCCACTCTTGTTTGATGATCTGCGACTGGGGACCCTCGCGCTCTTCTGGGGGAGATTCGGCAAAGACCACGGCAAGACCGGCTTCCAAGTGCCAATCGATGTGGCTGCATAATGTGAGGGAGCGATTCAGGTCGACAAACCGACAATAACTGACCAGTGCAAGAACCAGGGTCCGGGATTGTCGGCCCGGAAGCGGATAACCACGCCACCTTGGTCGACAGCGATAACGTCTCGGCGTGGCGGGTTAACGAAGTTGACGGGCCCAGACGCGCTCTGAACGATGTCGAAAGCGTGGCCGCTGCATCACGATTAGCAGTCAACCAAAGACCAAAGGAACTAGCGCACTGAAGATGGAACGGATGGGTGATTCCATGGTCAGCACCGTGAATGCGCAGCTCGACAACCTCTTGGTTCTTCAAAACGAACGTATGCTCAGAAACGTTGAAGTCAGATTCGACGGTAGCTCCGTTTATGATCTTGAGGAGTGTCGGGAGATCTGGAGGGACATACGAAATACCGTTGATTTCCCAGGTACCTTTGCCAGCCTGCACAAGGCTTGAACATGGGACGAGACAGCTAAAATAAGTATACTGACCTCGTCGAACTGAAGGTCAATGACATGGTCAGCAGGAGCACTTCCTCCTGGTGCGCCGGGGTCGATCAGAGTCTAAAGGGTATTTAGTCATAAACTGGGAATTCAAAGCTGCTTACTTGAAGTTGGTACTCTTCCAGAGGAGCCGGTGCAGCGTTAGCGACACCGCCTTTGGCGAGTGGGTGAACAACGACTGCAGAGCTAGTCGGGTCTTGTACAGGGGCGCCGACATATCGCAATATTCCTTTGACATTTTCCTTGTCCACTGTTTCCGGTTAGTTAGTCGTGAAAACAAGAGGATTGAGTGTACACTCACGAATTGGGTTGCTTCCTGCCACAGTCATCGGAGCACGGAACCAGTAGTTTCCAACCGGCTGCGTTGCATTGAGGACGAAGCTGTAGCGTTGTGCTGCGTGAATTTCGAAGCTGGTGACGGTGAGTGGAACAGTTTCGATGCCGTCTATTTCTATGATGCTCATTAAGTGCTCTGGAGGAGGGTTAGACGAGAGTATTAGTGAGTAACCGGTGAGGAAAACCCACGATCGACCGAAACGGTGTATGCAGAGAATGCGGAGATGTCGATGACGCGGAAACGGTATCGCTTTCCTTGTTCTACAGTCACCACCGCCCAAGGGATCGCGGGGCCACCGATGAAACGCTGAAGAAGTTGAATATACTTGAATTCAACTGGAAAGCAATGAACTGACCCCAACGCCATTGAAAAGGCCAGAGGCAGGAACGGGTGTCACATCGTCCTGTTTGAATTGGTTCATGAGCTGCTCAGCCGGCGTGTGGTACCAGTCAGCCAGGGTGATGATGGTACCAGCATCGTCGACATCGTAGAGGTCTCTAAGTGGGTCCTCCGGATCGTCTGGTCAACTATTAATCACGGAAAATTCAAAAGCATAGACCATACAGATAACGAAGGTACCGCGTTCTTTAGAAAGACATTAGCTTAGGCAACAAGCAAGAAAGGGGAATTTACCGCCATCGGCGTACTGAGTGCTGAGATGGGAGTGATACCAATAGGCTGGAACGGAAAGGTGAGCGACGAAACATAAAACTAGGTCGGAACGCACTGCCAGATTGATTTCCCGTGCTGAAGCTGTAGACGTACGAATTGTTTGGAGCAATGGGACCTGCAGGCTACGTTAAGAGAAGTGGAAAAATTTGAGGCAATCTTACACTGATTGACGAATGACGGTCCGTCTTCACTCGCTGTTCTGTCTTGCTACAACAAGTGTCAGAGAATTCCATCGTCGTCCGCAACCAACTCACGAAAAGACCATGCCAATGCTGAATAAAATTAGTGAGCTTCACGCGAGAAAAAGTAAAAACACACAATTGAAGTCGACCGACGCATGGTTGGGTCCGTGAGGGTGTTCGTAACATTGATGTTGACGAAGTCGCCCTTGTTGAGCACGATAGGCACGCCACCAAACTGCCCCGCAACAATGGATGAACGAGGGAAGCCGTCTGGGCTCTCGACAGAGTTGTGAACCTGCAATGGACGCGTAAACAACTTGGCCGTCGATAGATTGGAGTCCCACTGACGTTTATGTCGAAGTTGACCGTAGCGGCGAGCGCATGGCCTAGGAGGAGTAGGAAGGCTGCTGTTTTCCTCATTGCAGTGGGGAGTCCGAAGGAGGATGAGGATCAGTGCACTGGGATGCCTCTTTATATGAGCGAAAAGAGCATCCGAAGGCACCACAAAGAGAGGCATATTTCGACCTGAGAGCTTTCGAGGCACAGGACGTGGGTAATAACTGGGCGAGACACATTGGCGAAACGCCGATGACCATTCCTCTGCGACAGAAATCACGTTCTCCCATTTACAGCTGTAAAAGAATCAGAACAAGCCTTGGAAAGCTGAATGTCCCGACTACTTACGAATCTACCGCCAGGGTGTAGAAGGGTACACCGATAACTTGAAGTAGCCACGGGCTTTCTTAGAATCGAGCCATTCGAGGTAGCTCGTGCCAGTGTGTTGGTCATTGAAGCCCTGAGGCCTAAGGCATGTAACGGAATAACGATGGCACATAAGGCTCGACGGCCCACACATACTTCTGAGATGTACCTGGAGATGATTCAAGCGTGAGCGGTTGACGACGGAAATGGATGAAAATTGGATGAAGAGAGTTATTCCGTTCCCACGATACTGACCTGAATCTCGCTCAAGCCTGTACTTTTATTTTTAGCCGCTGGGTCACCAGAATAGAACAAGCTGATGAAATAAAGACTAGGTACGCCAACGTGAGCCTAGGGGAAATACATTCATGTAGATGTAAAGAAGGCTTTAGTATGTAAAAGCATCACAGCTTGACCAACGCGCCACGAATTTCCAATAATGCAGCATGTCGTCGTTGGACATGCCTGTACCACAACAAGTCGTGGTTTTAAGCTCAAAAGGGCCCAATAATTGCGAAAATCCAATGCTTCGCTAGTGTTAGATGGCCATCGACGACCTTGACAGTGACCTGCGAGTCTTTACAGCCCCTCCTTGGCGCTGTGGTCGACTGACAATGACCTCGATGAGATGGGGAACCAAGATCTTGAGTTGGGTGGATAGTGGCACAAATGACCCTACGGTCAGGTATCAACTTCCTGCGGCCGGCTTATTCTCCTGCGTTTTTCGAATCGCCATGACCCAATTACTCGGGCTATTTGCGACACCGACGTTCGAGATAGGAACCAGGCGAGGAAACTCTGGTCCGAGGCTGAATTCTTCTACATTCTGATCCTCGTATTCAGCACGAGACCGCTTGGCCTTTCGAGGAGATGAAGGCTCGAAGCTGAAAAATGACGACGAGGACTGCCAGTTATCGGACGATGGGCCTGCGAGGGGAATAGATGGGGCAACCGGCTCGGATTTTACACCGTCTTGTAGATGCGCTGGATTCACTGTTGTTTGTTGTTGTGAAATTTGGAGCTGTCGCGTCGTGTCAGGAAAAAAGACCAAAGCCTAAGCAAACAACGCACCTCTAGCAAACGAAGACGATCCTGAAGCTCCGTTCTCTCCCTCATCAAACTTTCTCGGTCTCGTCCAACAGCATTCAAGTCGCTTTGTAAACGGGCATTTCTCTGCTGCAACTCCGCAATTGTAGCTCTGGCATGGTGATCGTTCTCCATCAGAGTCAGTTGGGCTCGTTGCGCGGCACTTGCGCGCACTTGCTGCTCAGAAAGGAGGGCCTGGTTAAGCCACTGTCGCTCCTTCGCAAACGCGATACCGTCATTATGCCGCCCAGCCGAAGCGTCAACAAAAGCTTTATGCGCTTGTTCCCGCTCCGCTCTTGACCGCTCCAGCTGCTCTTCCAAAGCATGCATCCGCGCCCGCGCCTCATTTTCTGACTTCATCAACGCAAAGTTGGTTTGTTTCAGTGATGCGTTTTCCGCGACCAGCTTCTTCCGCTCCTGTTGCATTGCCTCTCGTTCTGCACGAAAGTCGGCAACAACTGTGCTGAGTGTGTCGTATGCTGAGGGTCTGGGTTGTGGAGTAGGCTGGACACGGGTGATAGCGAGGTCTGGCGATGATGAAATCGTCTGGGGGGAGGCAAACATGGGCGGGGAGTGCTGAGCGGTGCGCGGCAGACTTGCTGTAATCCGTGTGGGTGGTTGAGATGGGCTGGTTACCGTTTGGGGTATTGCCCGGCCGTCCATCGTGAAAAACTGTGGTGCGTTGGCTGCAGGTGGGAGATTACGAGTGTTGGGAGCAGGACGGCGAATCAGCACCCCATCGTTCCGGCCATTCAAAGGTGGGCCGAGATTTGGTGGAGGCGGCGTTGGAAGTCCACGGCTTTTCGGACTGCTTTCTGGAGAGAAAACAGCCGAGTGTACATGTGGAGGGGGGGTTGGATGTCCGTGAGGATGTTGTCGTTTGTCTAGATTATGATGGGTCGTGGGAGGTTGACTTCTGGCCCAACCCTCCCGAACCGACAGAGGGATAGGTGGTAGCTGTCAGAAGCTAAATATACGAAAGATCAGTATAAACTATGTTGACGTACTTGGCTCATGGAAGGAGCAGGTGTGGGCACAATGAATTGTCATGTAGTCGACAGCATCGTGTTCGTCGGTCGAAAGGGAGAAGGAATCCTGTCACGTGTCTCATTGACCTGCGTCTACTTGTTGTCTACTTGAAGGCTTGTATTTACAGGTATGACGACACGCTGCTACTACTCGTTGAGTGTACAATACATGGCCATGTGAGTGGTGCTCAATGAGTTATAAGAAAAAAGCTCGCGGCATCATTGACATCCTCCCTTATCTTAGACTTTAGTTTGATCTTATCGTGTGACGTGTGTTGATATGACTCACACATCGGCTCTCATTCCGTTCTCTCACTGGTGTTCAGCTTCTTGGACTCTCGCCGCTGGCTGCCGCTGGATACTTTTGTTTCATTCTCACCCAGCTAATTGAGCTGACGACCTCAATGGCCACGCGGCAGGGGGGCTGACGTATTCGGCAACGGAAACTGGTATAAAAGCGCGAAGGAAACTGGAAATGCTTTCCAGTTCACCGTCGCAACATGTCTTTCATAGACCCTCCCGTTCCAGCGGCGACAAAGCTTGCACATTATCGAACACTCTGCCCCAATGCGGGCATTCATGTGTCTCCTCTGCAGCTTGGCGCAATGAGCGTTGGCAACAAATGGGCCCAGTTTGGAATGGGCTCGATGGACAAGGAAACAAGCTTCAAGTTGCTCGATGCCTTTGCAGATAAGGGGGGTAATTTCATCGACACCGCGAACGGCTAGTGAGTTTCCTGCGCGTCGTTCCGGTGCTAGCTTCCATTGAAATGAGTCAACAGTCAAGACGGATCTTCCGAAGAATTCCTGGGCGAATGGATGGAGCAGCGCAACATTCGTGACCAGATGGTTATTGCAACCAAGGTAAAGCCATTCTTCACAGCGTTTCACCGTTCACCGATTGCTAGTACACCGCTCTATTCAACCGGCGTCAGCCAGGCTTTCTCAATAAGGCCAACCACGCCGGCAACAACATCAAATCAATGCATATCAGCGTTGAAGCGAGCCTCAAGAAGCTCCGCACCTCGTATATCGACATCCTCTACGTCCACTGGTGGGATTGGGACACGAGCATCGAAGAAGTGATGAACGGTCTTCATAACCTCGTTGTCCAAGGCAAGGTCCTCTACCTCGGCATCTCAGATGCTCCAGCTTGGGTCGTTTCCGAGGCAAACCGCTACGCGAAAGACCACGGGAAGTCACCGTTTGTCATCTACCAAGGTCGATGGAATATCCTCGAACGCTCTTTTGAGCGTGAGATTATTCCTATGGCTCGTGCTCACGGTATAGCTTCTCTATGAATCTTGGAGTCCTATTCAAGACCAACAGGTATGGCGTTGGCGCCATGGGATGTGCTCGTTGCGGGCAAATTACGGAGAAAAGGGCCGTACGATTTTCGGCCCCAACTGGGAGCGTAACGAAAACGAAGTCAAGGTATCGCACGCTCTCGAAAATGTCGGTACACAACGGAGACCGGACTCTGAGATGAGCGCAAGAAGATGGCGGAAAAGCCAAGATCCATATCATGTGACTACAATAAGTAGCTACGTCTCTGCAGACACGCAGACTAACTACAGTATATACCAACACTCCCCCTCTGCAGGGCGGAAGAGACAAGCGTAGACAGAGAACATGTACTTAGGCATCAAAGTCATCGTCAACCATCTCAAACGAGCCTTGACCTCCATATTCTGGGGTGTCGGATACTGCGTAAAGTCCATGTGCGGGCGTTGGAGCGGGTTCCTGAACGAAGTATGTTGTGACGGGCTGGATGGATTCTGCGGCAAGGTGGGTCGTCTCATATGCACGGTTGAGGCACCAGTCCTTGACTTCGGATGGCATGTCCTTGATGCAGCACGCTGCCTTGTGTGACCGCCCACCGCAACGATGACATCCATCCATGGACATATCGCACCAGCGGTTGCCCTGCTGGTCAACATAACCCTCGCCTCGATGAGAACCGGTGGCTCCCCCAGAACCAGTGGTACCGACTCCCCCTCTGGGGGCAGAACCGGAAACTCCCCCTGTCGCAATTGCAGTACCAAAGTTCTTGTACCGCGTGTCGCGTTGACGCGTAGCGCGAGCAGCGTATGCGGATTCGACAGGCTCCGTCTTGATAGTAGCACCTGCCGACTCAAGAAGTTTGCTAGCCTCCTCTTGAACGTCGAAATCAGGACCAGCAGATGACAAGATAGTCTTGCACTGGTCAAGATCTGGTTCTCCAGAGGCAGAACCCAGGAGATTGAGTTTTGCGGCCCCATAGGATGAATGGAGATTAGTGAGCATGACGTCCTTGAGGTAAGTGTCAGACACTTTCTCGTTGTCGGGGAGAAGTGTATTCAGACGATCGCGGAGGGACGTGATGAGGTCAAGATAGACGGAAATGGGGAGAGATGGATCATGCTGACAGCGATGGAAAGCAGCACGAGCCGCGGGAACGAGTGGTGAAGGTGGACTTGTCGAAACGCTTGCACAGTGCCGCAAAAATTGCTGCCCCCCCCATTCTCCTTTGCGTAGATTGAACGCGTATTTGGATCTGTGAGGGCGCGAATAACAGCTGCAGCAATTGTGTTCCGCTTATCCCATTCGGCTGCCTCAGCCGCCTGCGTTGGACGCGTTGTTGTGCCTTCGACAATGCCATTAGTGACACCATCAGCAGCGAACACAGTGTTGACCATTTCATCCTTCCAAAAGGTCCAGGCTTCAGCCTTGTTGACAGAGAGCTTGGGGATGTCCTTGGCAAGTGCGAGGAAGCCAGTGGTAGCAGTCGTCATGATGGTAGGAAGAGAGAAGGAAGGGGTGGAAGATCGGGGTGGATAAGGTGTGTAAGGGGGCTCTTAGATGGGATAGACTCTTAGATGGGGTTAGAGGAGCTCGGGGCCCATAACCTGTCGGTACACAACGGAGACCGGACTCTGAGATGAGCGCAAGAAGATGGCGGAAAAGCCAAGATCCATATCATGTGACTACAATAAGTAGCTACGTCTCTGCAGACACGCAGACTAACTACAGTATATACCAACAGAAAAGGTGGCGGCTGAGGTCGGAGCCAAGTCTATCCAAGCCGGTACACAGATTTTTGCTTCCCGTTATTGTTCAACTCACCTACAACTCCTAGTTGCCATTGCTTACGTGTTGCAAAAAAGCTCCCTTCTGCTTCCCTATCATCGGAGGCCGCAAAATCGAGCACCTTGTCGCCAATATCAAAGCGCTTGACATCTCCCTTTCGCCAGAACAGATCAAGTACCTCGAGAGTATTGTCCCGCTTGACCTAGGCTTTCCTACTTCCATGATTGTGAGTTTCAAGTTGCTCCCTTTTGTTGCTCTACTGACAGATTGAAAGGGCAATGGCACTGAACAACATTTCCTGACTAAGTCTGCCGGCATCTGGGTCCCCTTACCTCGCATCGAGCCTTTGAGACCAAGTCAGGCTTGATATAAGCACTTGCTCCATGCTCATCTGACACCATGATGCTTCGAGTTGAACTCCTCAGTTAAATGTTGAATAAAGTGTAATGAATGGACCATGAAATGATATGTAGCCCCTTCCCTTTCCTTCATATTATACTTGAAAGGGAAGGTAAAATGGAGTTGAACAAATACCTTTGTCCTGATGAGCACAATGCCAGAAAAAACTATCACAAGTGCTCTGGCCAACTTGAAGAAGAGAAATTTTGTAGGTCAATTCTGACAATTCTGCCAGTGACAGATCACAATTCACCGCTAAATTCTGGTTCCAATCCCTCCTTTGAGCATAGGGCCTGGATTGCATATTAATTCTGCCAAATTGTCACAAGCCTCAAGTTCAAATGGTTGAAGGGAGGCCAATGCTATTAGGTAGTATACTAAGCACAACCTCATTAAATAATTACAGACCAAGTATTGTTGGAATATGAAATCTTTTCAGCCTGAGAGGTCTATCTGGGATAATCAATACATATTCGAAAATGTTTTGCTCAGTCAATTTCAAATTCAACATCAGGTGCAAAACTTAGATTCTCTCTATTTATCCCCCCACATTTTTCAAGTCCTAGAAAGGTCAATTTTCCTTTTTCTTTGACTTTTCCAGACAAAAAAAAATTCAATTCCAGTGAAGGGTGATGAAAAAAGAATGTACTTTTGATGGCAAAATATTAGTAATTAAAACAACTTTTTCATCCCAAGGAAGTAGTTTCTTAAAAGCGACCCTGCGAGTTAAAGCGCACACAAAAACGTTTCTCGAACTGAAGAACCTGACGTACACCAACTTGACTAACGCATCGGATCAAAAGCGGCTCTCAGGCCGTTCTACCCATTTTGTCACTTTGGTTCGTATTCTCGGACGCCCGCCGCTGGATGTCTCGCCTGCTTTTGTTCTTCTCACCGAGGTGATTCAGCTGACTCTAATGGCTACACGGCAAGGCCTGACGCGTCCGGCAACCCCGAGAAATGGGTATAAAAGAGCAAAGAGGAATCCTTTCCACAGTATCATTGCACATCTCTCAACATGTCTTTCATGGAGGCTCCTATCCCTGCGGCGACTAAGCTTGCCCATTACCGAACTCTTTCCCCCAATGCGGGTATTCATGTCTCTCCTCTGCAACTTGGCGCGATGAGCGTTGGCGACAAATGGGCGAAGCTCGGAATGGGCTCAATGGACAAGGAATCGAGCTTTAAACTGCTCGACGCCTTTGCGGAGAAGGGTGGTAACTTCATCGACACCGCGAACGGCTAGTAAGTCTCCTGATCGTTGTTCAAGTGTTCAATCTCATTGTGATCGACAGTCAAGACGAATCGTCCGAGGAGTTTCTGGGCGAATGGATGGAGCAGCGCAACATCCGCGACCAGATGGTCATCGCAACCAAGGCAGGCGTGCTCTCCTCTTCCTTAACCACGAGCTCATCGCTTATCAGTACACTGCCCTGTACAAGCAGCGCAAACCAGGCTTCCTCAACAAGGCCAACCACGCCGGCAACAACGTCAAATCGATGCATCTCAGCGTCGAAGCCAGTCTCAAGAAGCTCCGCACCTCGTATATCGACATCCTCTACGTCCATTGGTGGGATTGGGACACGAGCATCGAAGAAGTGATGAACGGTCTTCATAACCTTGTTGTCCAAGGCAAAGTCCTCTACCTCGGCATCTCAGACGCTCCGGCCTGGGTCGTTTCCGAGGCCAACCGCTACGCGAAAGACCACGGGAAGTCACCGTTTGTCATCTACCAAGGTCGATGGAACATCCTCGAACGCTCTTTTGAGCGTGAGATCATTCCTATGGCTCGTGCTCATGGTGCGTCTCATGCTCCAACTTTTTCTCGCTTTTACATGACTAACAGGCATGGCATTGGCACCATGGGATGTTCTCGTTGCGGGAAAGATTCGAACCGATGCTGAAGAGCAAGTCCGTCGCGAGAGCGGCGAGAAGGGCCGCGCCCTCTTCGGCCCAGACTGGGAACGCAACGAAAACGAAGTCAAGATATCACGTGCTCTCGAGAAAGTCGCTGCTGAGGTCGGGCGCCAAGTCTATCCAAGCCAGTACACATATTTCCTCATCTCCAACTCTCTAACTGACCCACCGACAGTCGCAATCGCCTATGTGATGCAGAAAGCCCCCTACTGCTTCCCCATCATTGGAGGCCGAAAAATCGAGCACCTTGTCGCCAACATTGAAGCGCTTGACATCGATCTTTCGCCCGAGCAGATCAAGTACCTCGAGAGTGTTGTACCATTCGACCCAGGCTTCCCCACTAACATGATTGTAAGTATAGCCGTTTATTTCCCACTTTTACTGACGTCTTCAAGGGAGACGGTAGTGAGCAATCCTTCCTGGTCCAGTCGGCAGGCATTTGGGTTCACTTGCCGCGCGTCGAACCACTGCGACCGAGCAAGGACTAGTTGGAAGCATAGAGAGTCTAATAAATATGTTCCAGATTCATCCGAGTCGTTGCCCAGAAGTGATTGCTGAATATCATGATCATCCATCAGGCCCCCTGCGTATGCGCCTAAGGGTCCGATATTTATGCGGATAGAAATGGCCCCAAAAAGGCCTTTGTGTCCGATAATTGTGCGGTTAGAAGTGGTCCTTTCCTGAGTTGTGTCCGATATCACATGATGGCTAAACTGGGCAGTCAGAGCGAATGTCCGATTCACAAGTCGGCATCTGGTCCGGCATTTTGGCGTGACGAAAACGTCACACCCTGTTTACTCGAACAAGCATTCGCCTTGGCTCTCGCTCGAACCAGCTCACGCGCTCACGGAAATCGGGCGGCGGCTGGATCGCCCCGAACTTGTAGTGGATAGCGTGGAATGTGCTGGGTATAGAATATGAACTCAGCGTCACGGCCTTGTCTCGACTATTGCTTGTTGGCCACCCAAGTTCCCTCTTCCGCTCAAATATCTCTCCGATATCGACTTTTCAACCTCTTTACATCTTTATATCATGCAACTCAAACCTCAAAAACCATTTGATTTACGCTATTCTCTCACGACCTCGAACACGAAAGAGGTAAACCTCTCGGCTCTCAAAGTAAGACCCTGTTCTCTTGTCCAGAAGTCGAGATAATCAACTTAGCCCAAAGAGGATACTTGAGTACGCGAGAAATGGCCGGCCGATATATAGTTTCGCGACACACAACAGCACACAACACAACCGCTTTCTCTCCTTCCAGCACTACCATACCACGAACACCTCTCCTCAAGCTAAGCATGCGCAAAGAAAGGTGCTGTATTTCATGGTTCTCTCAGCTTGCCATTGACTGTCACTACAGACCGACACATGCATAAACCACTTTCACCGACTTTCCTTCGACCACCTTCACGACATTCCTTTGCCCGGTCATATGAACGACCACTCCTTGTTTTTACGGCCATAATCATTTCCATAACCGCTCTCTTCTCCCAGGAGAGCACTGTATCTACTCTGAAATGCCTGGCGAGGGAGACACAAGTCCAGCCGTCTACAATTGCCGCTGCAGCGAGTATCCTCTGTGCCGAAATCCTCACCGTCGTCTGGACTATTTGTAAGCTTCTTTTGCGGCCCTTTTTTATGGCACATTCTTATATCGTTCTCAGCTTACTACTCTGCACTGTCCAATTATGGGTTGTCGGTGCGCTACAGCCGCACACATATAGTACATCTTCGACGAGACCGAATGCACCAATACGGTATCTATAATCCTCAAGAGCGACTGGTTCTATGCCAGCTCCTTACTTCTCGGCACTACACCCAGTCAATACCACAACAAGTCTTCACGTTGTACGTTCATCAGCTATCTTAAACATCGTTGCTTACTTACTTTATTCACCCAGCTCATGGTCTTCAAACACTGTCCCCTTTTCTTTCGACGCAGCCTACAAATGCACACGCCTCGAGTCCTTTGCAAAACTGACTTCGACACATATTCCATGGTCCGGAATACTTCAGACACCCCGAAATATCCCTCTTGGTCACTCTCGTTGTGCAGGTGGTGGCCCCGAGGCCCCCAACCCACATTCCCCTCACTACTCGGATGCTGGCGTAATTGATGTGAATTCGGACGATGGCGAAGATCTCGCATCTTTTTTGCCCGCTGAATGGATTGGTTTGGGCAAGATATGGAACGAGAAAATGCCAATGGAGGTCCGAAAGGCACGGGACAGTGCTCGCAACGTCCCCAAGTCGTATCATCACTTCAATTGTGCCCCCACCATCGACTCCGGCTGCGCAAATAATCGCAATGCCTTGCTCGCCACGACACTATTCCTCATCAGACCGCTTTGCTACATTCACTACCCATCCTCCTACTGCTGAACCGACTCGTGATGTACTTGCTGCCTCACTGGATTTACTGCCGGAATTACGTGCCAAGTTCAATAATGCATGGTTGTCTGGCGCACTTTCCATATCTCTTCCCGACTTTCCTCGTCAGTCATTCCCACTGTGGACCGAGAACCTTCTTGCAGTATACGACAGCTTTGTGACTAAGCATCGCCGTCTGCAAGCCGCAAAAGCATTTCTCGAAGCTGCCCCAACAAATTGTCGTGACCTTGTCCAATCCTGTGAGGATATCTTGGAATTCATGCCGTGGGATGGTCCAGTGCCCGATCTCAGTCGTACCGGGAATTTCACAACACAAGATCTCATTGGGTTCTTGAGCAGTGAATGGCTTGATGATGAAATGATCAATGCCGGTGCTGCGTATATCGATGGTTGCCTACCTCAGCCAAAAACTGTCTATCTGCAAAACTGTTTATTCCTCCAAATGCTACGTGTCGCACATCGCAATGCACCTTTTTATACTCCCCAACGGCTTTCACTTGTCGACAAAGCTCTTATGGATGGGACTGCAAGCATAGTGTTCCTTCCGCTTCATGTTCGTGACTCGCATTGGTCTCTTCTCAAAATTGACCTTCGGACGTGTACACTCTCTGTTGCGGACTCACTTCCGAATGCTGCTATACCAACCAACGAACTGAATACAGTCCGGTGGTGGTTGACGTCACTCATTCCCAATTGTCCGCCCTTCTCAGTCGTCAAGCCTAACTTCCCATCACCCAAGCAGAATGATAGTCACTCTTGCGGTGTTGTCGTTCTATCACTTCTTGCCCATATACTTCTCAATGAAGATAATTGGTCTGCTGAACATGCGGTCCGGCATCGTTTACTATGGTTTGTCCGACTGGCGGATCGTTTTTCCGACCATGAAGAAATTGAGGTACGGGTACTTACATTCTTATATACTCAACTAACGCATCTCATTAGGAAAATTATGTTGAAATTAGCCATAGCGATTTCGAAAGCTCGTCTCCACTTCAACCATCAACTCCAGCTGAATCTATCACTTCATGCTCGTGGCCATCCTCACGCCCCACTACGCCAAACCAATCATCTGATTCATCGTTCAATATCATCGATGCTGCCTCTGAAGACCATTCCTCTCCCCCTCTTACTATTGATGATAGTAACGACGCTTTCTTTGATGTTGGTGTTTCGATACAGTATGACAACAATGATGATGCTCCGGCCCACGAATTTGAGCCATATCGACGCTCTGCTCCTCGTGTTGGATCCTCATGGGAGAAACAGAAACGTCTCAAAGCCCACTCGGACCATTCAGAATTTGTCGCCAATGCAGCCCGTCTTGCCAACTTTCGAGCGAAAATTCAAGCAGATGATTCGACCGCAGAGTTCAAGGATGACGATCTGTGTAGTGTTCGCTGTTCACAGTGTGCTCGATGGATTCAGATGCGAGCTCTATACGATGTGCGACAATGGCGACAACATCGAGCATCAGCTATCTGCCAGAAAAACCAGAGAAGTCAGCTCAAGACCAAGTCTCTTCTGTCGTTTGGCTTTACGGCCAAGCAACGGCAGCCTCTGCATACTGCACCACCATCACTGCCGCTGCGACCCCGACCTTGTCCAGGTCTAACCCATGAGTCTAATGAGAAGATTGCGTTATCTCTCCTGCGCACCTCTGTTCCTGGTGGTGGTGCCCCATCTCGCCAACGAATTTCCCTTGATTTGTTTGAAGACCGTTGGATTGCGCTTAACAAAGAGCAGCAGCGCATGGTCTTGCGACGTGAAATAATGCTTCAACAATGGAAGAATGTCCACTCACTCGGTGCTGTGTTCTCTGCGGCTTGCTTACGGGATGTCCCAGTGCGAGACGATGATATCCCATTACCATGTAGCGAGTGCCAAAAGCTGTGGAAGCTTCGGTCGTTCCAGGTTGGGATTAACCGACCAATGCCGAAGGAGGAGGCAATGAAACATGTGCCAAAAGCATATCGCAATCCAGAACTTGGCGAGTTATATCTGAAGTATCATGGGCTTCGGGAGCTTATGGAACACGTGAGTTCCTTCGCTTGAAAGATTTCCAGCTTACTGATTTGGCTGTGCAGAAAGATGGCCGTTCCTATTTTTTTGAAGTTCGCTCAAGGTTGTCTTGATGGCTCGTATAGTTCGAATGTCCTTCCAGGGATGATCAAAGCTATGGTGGTAAAACAGAACCGAATACATGCCGGGAAATCACTCAAGAACATGAAATATCCACCCGAGTTTGACCAATTCTGTGATTTACTCGCGTCAATGTCGCCCCAATCATATGAGACCTTCCGAAGAACATTTGGTGGCCGCGGGATGCGAAGTATCCGGTATTACTGCATTATTTCACTCTCACTAGTACTGACATTCCTATAGGGATGTCCGTTCTAAACTTCCTCAATTTGCGCCTGGCATTGTTGGCGCCAACATCGGGCGTATTGTTGACATTCTCTTCAAGCTTGGTTATGCTGGTCCGTTGGCTCTATCGTGCGACGATACTGCACTTGAGCCAGCCATCTCCATCTACCAAGAGACGATCGATACTTGTTTAATTCTTGGATCAACCGAGGGGCCTATCCGTGTTGGAGAGAAAGACGACCTAGATGCTGTTATGCGGTCTGCCCAACTCCATAAAGCTGACAAGGCGGGTTCATTCTGATATTTTACCCACCATACCTGACTTTTGGTAGCTTCGTCTCTGGCTCTTGAGCATTCCTATGCCAAAGGTCCCACCAATTGTCGTTGCTGCAGTTGCTCGTGGCTCCTCAGTAACATCCGAGAGATTGGCCGCTATGCACCAAGAGGTCCTTGACCTTCTTCATCAACACGATGTTCATCCCATGTCGCTCTCTGCTGATGGTGCGGACACTGAACGGTCTGTCCAACGGATTATCGCCAACTCTACTTCCGATCATCTATTCTTCTGTATTCCCAACAACGCACCAAACTGCAGTATCGAGTACAAGCTGCCAATCGCCTATGGTTCTCATCCTCTTGTTATTACCCAAGACTCAAAGCATGCAGCAAAAACTGCTCGGAATCAACTTCATACCGGAGCACGAATGCCAACTCTTGGTCACTATACAGCACA